GAGGAGGATTTTCATGCTTGTACATTTGCTTACTTAAATGAGAAAACAACAAAGAAACCACTGTTTTCTAACCAGAAGTGAAGAAGGTGACAATGCCACTGACCACATAAACTTTTAGGAGCTGTATATGCACAGTGTGTATTTGTTCTTGAATAGTGCAATTAGGTATGATCTGATCATACAGTAAGTGCTGAAATTGTATTACTTGGAAGTATACATTGATTGAAGGGATACTTGGTGATCTTGTAGGGTCAATCTCAAGAACTCACGTTGCTGTGTTTATTGGCTTTCTTTGATCATTGCTGTATTTCTGTCATTTAAAACAAATAGCAATAGAGGGTAGATGCTACCACCACTTAATCAGGGTTTGCTCAATTCTTGGCGTAGAGAAGGGGTCGGCAACCTTTCTGAAGCAGTGTGCCAAGATTTAACCCTCCTGCCCTGGGCTGCACCACTCTCCCCGGAGCTTTCTCCACCGTGGGCCCTGCTTGGTCTCCTGCCCTAGGCTCTGCGCTGACTTTTCCTGTGGGGAGGGGAGGAGCAGTGCACACACGCTTCCCTGCAAGCCTGATCTGGTGAGAAGCCTCGGGGCTTCCCAGGCCAGCCTAAACTGCCAGACTTTGGTATTTAGTGCATGTGCACGCCTCCTTCTCCCCTTTCCCTCTCCTCGTTGGCTGCAATTGGCTCCTGTCCTGGGGGCTGTGACAGAGCCAGGAACACACTGTGAAGTCACCACCCAGGTGGAGAAAGGGATGGGGCCAAATTGCCGTGAGGGGTGGCTCAGCTGGCATTCATCATTTCTGCTTCCACAAGCGCAGACGATGCACATGTAACACCATGTTACACACCCTACGGCATCAGTGGCGGCGTGCGAACTGGCCTACACTCTTCCCACCCCAAAATCAGTCTCATGTTTGTGGGGCATGTGCAATGAATGGGCTTCCCCCACCCCCCGCCAACACTGGCTCCAAACTTGAGGAGGGCATGATGCTGGATCTCCAGCACAGGCTCCCTGTTGAGGGTAGGGGGGAGTAAGGTGGAGCCCATTCATTGTGTGTGCCACTGAAAATCATCTCGTGTGCGACTTACAGTGTGTGTGCCGGATGTTGCCAACCCCTGGTGTAAAGGGTGCTCTGTTGTCTCTGGGAGGTGGGGCACAAAGGTTTTTCATTAAAGCAATCAAATCAATAACTGCTTAAAGATGTGTCATTAGCAGGACAGCCAGCCAGCTCACCATTTTGAAGAAACCCAAGAGAAAGGGGAGAGCATTGGCTCTGCAGAGTGTAAAAAGATGAAGGCCTAAAACATAAGCCCATATAACACAGCCCTGGTTAGAGGCCTGAGGCCTAGCTAACAACAGACAAACCATGGCTAACATAAAGCAAAGCTAAGCTGTGAGCAAGAAGCAGGTCCCTGCTCACAGAACTTGGCACAAACAGAGCTGAGAGAGCAAACCACTAATTATTAATAGGTCCAGGTATAGGCCAGTAATTGGTGCTAGGTACTGAATGCAAAACAGTAATTGGTACTGTTGAAAGCACATGGTACCAGCAGCTCATTTAAAAAGACCTTGGTACCCACACTCCCCACAGATACAGAACTAGGTTCAGGAAAGGGTCTAAAATGACCACATGATGGATAGAGATGTTCTAATTGAACCTCCAGGTGCAGGGTGGTATCTAAGTAGCATCAGAGGGTGCTAACCTGATATGTCAGCAGTGATGTGTAACTTGTTTTTATCTGTGTATAAAGTGGTGCTATGCGGAGGACAGTCCGTGGATGAATTGGGGGCAATGGAAATTTCCCATTGATTGAGTCATTTCATTGTTACGGGGTACGTATGTGTAGTGGTTCAGTAGAATCTACTGACAACTACTACTGTACTTCACTCAACAATAAACCTGGCTGGGCACCTTCGATCCTTATCTGATTTGTGGTCTTTGGGGTCTCTCTTGGGGTCCGGGGTCCGTTGTGGAGACTAAGTGCACAAGTCGATATGGCACACATCACTGAGCACACACACAACTAGCCTTCTGGCTATCAGAAGCCAGAGACCTGAGAGGACACCTCAGCAGTAAATCCTGATCTTTCCTGACTAGCTACACAGGGATTTCCACTGTCCTGTTTTCATGTATCCTGGGCCTGTGTAAAACCTCAGCTGACTCTTGTTCACTTGTTTTACCCATGTTATGAATTCCTAACTCATCCACTTCTCTTAAAAATGGCAGCCCTTTCCACCAAAACCAACTCTGAAATATTGATTGGGCTCTGTGTGGATTATGTTACATGATGTTTTGTAACAAAGGGATCACAGCTTGGAATTCAGATAACTTGGTGTTGATAGCACTATTAACCTAGGAGCAACTCCAGAATGAACTCCCTATGGACAGATTTCACATTTGCTCTTTTCCATTGTATAACTTCAGTACATACCCTTGTTCTGCTGTTGAAAAACACCACTAAATAGGAATTTATTATTAGGACCCTACCAAATTCATGGCCATGATAAATGCATCACAGACCATGAAAGCTGGTCTCCTCCTGTGAAATCTGGCCTTTTGTGTGCTTTTACCTTATACTATACACATTTTATAGGGGAGATCAGCTTTTCTCAAAGTAGAGGACCTCACCCTATAGGGAGTTGCAGGAAAGTCACAAGGTTATTTTAAGAGGGTCACAATCGTGACAACTTTACTTCTGCACAGCCTTCAGAGTGGAGCAGCTGGAGAGTGGTGGCTGTTGGCTAGGTGCCCAGCCAGCAGCAGTGCAGAAGTACGGGTTGCAATACCATATTATGCCACTATTACTTTCATCTGCTGCTGGTGGTGGCTCTGCCTTCAGAACTGGGTTCCTAGCCAGCAGCTGCTGCTCTCCAGTCTCCCAGCTCTGTGGGAGAAAGAAGGGTAGCAGTACCTCAAAGCCTGCCCCTCACAGTAACCTTTGGACTGGCCCCTCAACTCTTTTTGAGTCAGGACCTTTACAATTACAACACTCTAAAAATTCATATTTAAATATCTGAAATAATGCAATTTACAATTTTTAAAATCCCATGACCATGAAATTGACCTAAATGGACAGTGAATTTGGTAGTGTCCTACCTATGTTTACTGGGTGCTTTGGTTTTCCTGGCACAGGAATTTCTGAAAAACTCATGCTAGCAAGAATGCAGCGTCTTTTGAGACTTGTAAACATTTACTCAAATTCAAAGCATTCATTCAGCCTTAGTAGCCCTATCTGTGGGCAGTACAGTTCCAGAACATAGTATGTGGCTTTATTTTCTGAAATACTGAATAATTTGGCTTGCTGCTCTTTTTCTTAGTTGTTTTCTCAATAGTTTTTTTTAATAAAGGAAAATTCTGAGTCAACATTTTCCTCCAATTCAGGCATTAAAATGTAAAGAAACCTGGAGACAGTGAATTCCTTCCCCATCTCATCTCACTGCTCTGAGCAGGCCAGAAGGGCTTAAGTCTCAAGAAACAGTCCATGCACTTTAGCTACAAAGCAAACCAACTGTACAGAGCAAACCTGTCAACCTCAGGCATTCACAAAATCAGGAATGAGACCCCCAAAATCATACCTTAATTTTTTTCCTTTCAGGGCAGTAGTACCTAAGGGTCCACTACCCCCTCTCACAGCTATTTAAATGTTTGAGAGATCATATACATATGTAACAGCAAAGACCCAGGCTGCCAGTAGGTAAGGTTGAATCTGGGGCCCTGAGCACTAAAGTCGTGAGTTGTTACCACATGAGCTGAAAGTACAACCCCGCTCTGTAAGGAAGAGGGGGAAGAAAACTCACTGGGGAATCTTATACAAACCAGAAGTAAGTATGAACTCAAGAGACTAAAAGAGGAGGCGTGCGCTCTGTAAAGAGTTAATAAACCAGGCACCATGAAAGGTGGGAGGGGGCAGTTTGAAATAATCTGATCTGGATAGCTAATTGGAAGAACTGGAGTGGCTGCTGACAGGGCTTGAGGAAGGTGCTTCATTATAGGTTCCTGTTTGCCATGTGTTATTTTGAGCCTTTAGAGTGAAGTTGGTGTCATGATTTCAGGGTAACTGATCTGTATTCTTAATCTGCGATCCATCTTGACAAGCCTAGCCTTAGGGCAAGTCGAGGAAGGCAGTTGCGTAGGGTCCCATGCTGTCTGGCACCCACCTGCCCATCCACTCGCTTGCTGCCCTGACGGGGGGCTGCGCAGCACAGCCAACCCCAGCATGCCACGATGGGCCCTGCAAACTCTTTGGCTGGGTCTGCACATTGGGCTCTCATTCACAAGTTCTGGTTTCTAGCTATCACCTCTCTTTGGGCAGAAACCTTTGTCTATCTCACTCCTGACGATTCAGTCCCACATTGTGATATCCCCAGGAAGCCAACTGGCCGGCATCCATGCTTTGCTTTCTCCACAAAGGCTATGAGCAGTGTAATTGCTAGTGGTTACAAGTTATCACACAGCCCTCTCTACGTGTACGTCTACTGCTGTTATTCCGAAATAACATAGTCCGCATCTACACTTGAAGCAGTTATTTCTAGAATAAATTTATAGAATAAATTGCCCAGGGCAGTTGTGGAATCTCCATCTGTGGAGATATTTAAGAGTAGGTTAGATAAATGTCTTTCAGGGATGGTCTAGACAGTATTTGGTCCTGCCATGAGGGCAGGGGACGAGACTCGATGACCTCTCGAGGTCCCTTCCAGTCCTATGATTCTATGATTTCAACATAATGTTGATATAATGTTGAGCTGGAGGACTGCTTACTCCAATTCCTGTAACCCTCATTTTATGAGTAAGGGAAGTTGGAGGAAGAGTGCTTTTTCTCGAACTTCCTGCGGTGTAGACAGTGCCTAAAGCCGAAATAAGCTATTTAGACTTCAGTTGCACAATTGACATAGCTCAAGTGGCATAGCTTATTACAGTTTTAGCCCTGAAGTTGAAAGCACTGCAGAGAAAATATTTAAAATAATAAAAAAAATCAGCATACATGTTAAAAATGCTTACCAGAGGTCACCATCAGTTCCAGCCTAGGTTCTGGGAAGTGTCAATCCTTCAAAATCCACAGTGAGGCTTTCCCTGTGGTTACAAATCCATTACTGGCAGATTCAGAACAAGAACAACTTGCTGGGCAGTTCATCTGTTTCTTTATACATTTTTGGCCTTTGATCTCCAGTCTCTGTGATCAAAAACTTTTTGTCTCAGGGTGTAGATTCAAAGGGCAGGGGCTTGGCCTAACCAGAGAAGGGATTTTGCATTAACCTTGCTCTAGGTATCCCCTAAGAAGTCTGTTTCACACATATCTCAAAAGTCCATTCTTGTCTGTCTTGTTTTTACTTCTGAACTCCTACGCCTTATATTACCTTTCTCCGGAAGAGAGGATACATACAATCCCAGCCAACTGTAGCACATAAACTTTCCATTTAATGCAATGGATCCCAACGATACTTAAGTTTAATTCAATTTGTTTTTTCAAGGTTGTTGCAGGAAATTGCTCTGTCACATTTAGGTCACACATTTCGCAGCCTTTCTCTGCATCTAGAAGTGTTAGAAACTTGCTTACAAAATAAAAGTACAGATTTTTGCATAATCCCAAGACTTTGGGAGCTGGTGCTTCAAGAAAAACACTATATATTGTGTCAGTTGCAATAAAATTGTAAGCATTTCTGAAAACACAACACCTATTTATAAGAACCATAAGTGTGCATAGGTCTTTACAGGCAAATTGAGGGCCCTGATCCAAAGGGGTTTGGCTCACATTGCTGTTTCCTACTGCAAAACCAACAGCAGTGAACTCAGAGGAGGAATTAAAATCCTTTGAGATTCTTGTCACAAAGTTTCTCTTTTGGGGGGGAGGTTAGGGTTTTCCCAGGAAGGAGCAGGAGTTTCAGGCTCCCACCACCATGGATGAGTCCACCACAGTGTGTATGGGAATAAAAAGGATTTTGCAGTACCTTCCAGTCCCTGTCATGCCTCGTCACCAGTTCTCCTCCCAGGGGTTTGCAGCTCTGGAACCTCCTCCTTAAAGGAGAAGGAGGAAAGTTCCACAGAGTGCAGAAGATCTGGAGTGCCAGCAGAAAATCTGGTCAGAAATCATTCTGTTTGTGTGGCCCTTATTCCTCTAACATCTGAGCACTTCACCACCACTGATGGGTTTCAACTCCACAGCACCTTGACCAGTTGGGAAGTATTATCTCAATGTTACATACAGGGAACCTAGGGCTTGCGTAAATTAAGCATCTTGAACAAGGCCATGCAGGAAGTCAGGTGTTGTCAACTTCCTGGCTTACCATATCCAGGCCCTATTCATAAGATCATCCTTCCTTCATATCATTTTCTACAAAGTGTGAGGGGTAGGGATGATGCACATTCTCCCCCCTAATGACTCCAGTGCCGACTGTTTCCTCTCTCATTCATAGATCCCTCCACATATGGCTCTGAGCAGACGCTATCCAGTCATGTTAAACCAAAGACATAGTGAAAAAGCAATAGCCCTGTGAAAGTAGAGTGGGTAGCAGAGAGAAAGAAAATCCCTCCCCCCTTGTTCCTTTCCACCATTCAACACCTTGCCTACCTCCCTACTGCATTCTCCAACTCTGAACTCAGATTTGTATGGGCTGGAGATTAAAGCTGGGTCCAAAACTGCCTTTATTTAGAGCCATGAGTAAAAGTGAAACCACTGCTGTTACCGATCACAGTGAGATTTTGAATAATCATAGCTTGAAGCATTTATGAATTCCTAGCAAGGAGACAGTAAGAAGTAGGCTGATGAGTGACATGTATCTGATGATTTGAGTAGTGACATTCACATTTACTCCTGTTTCCCGGGGGATCTGGTACCACTCCGGTCACTGGGTTTCTTAGTACTGCTGCCTTCTCAGTATGTAGTATCCCTTACCCATTTCACTGCTATCGCCTAGGTTTTAAGGGTACCAAATAACTCTGCAGATTAATTTGGGGACCACTATTAAACCAAGGGATGAACAAATTTACTGTCTTGGGCAATATTTCCTCTAATTTTTTCCATACATGTAAATGTTCACAACTTGATGTTTTTGCTGGGATTTCAGATTATTGCTTTCACTTTTTGTATCTAACTTTCACCTTAACTTTTTTATTTTTCTGTTTCCATTTTCTTACTATATTTCTAATAACCCTGTTTAACAACCTGGTATTTCTACACCCCGCAACATGACTGCAGCATCTCTTTCTAATAGGCTGTGGATCCATACGTGTATTTCAGGTTGTAAACAGTGTACCCTTCTACCTCTTAGTAAATATATATTTTAATGTTGGTGTTTGATCTATCTAGGTAGCTAAAGCCCTGGTTCAGTTAATTTCCATTAACCTCTTAGGGGAATAGTAGTCTAGTTATGTTCCACCGCACAGGCATAGAACATAGCTCTCAACTTACCTACAACCTAATGTGTAATGCTGACCTTTAAAATGTATGGTGACCCACCACACCTCAAATGAGGGACGTGATGCCAAACATCTGAGGTGTAAGCTTGAAATGAAGGATTCCATAACACTGTAAATGGATTTCTATCACCTCCATTTTATGACTCAGCATTTCTGAGGCCTTTAATTACCAGTAATGAGCAGTGGGATGACACTAGGTTTGTGAGGGCTGAGTTAAATTTGGGCCAAAAACTGAGTAACATCCCTTATAATTAAGCAGAATTAAAATTAATTGTATATGATGAAGGTCTGGTCAGACCTCATGAAGTGCAAGCAGTATATACTTTTTTCCCTCCCCCCTAAATCTGTTGAGTGCTGGTGACCAAGTTCTGGAATGCCAGACATGGAAACTAAACTCCTCTGTTTATTCATAGCATAGATATGCTGTACGCTGTATGGGATTTCAATCTTTCCTTTTACACTGCTCCAAAGGTCTCTTAACCATGTCCTGGAGGAATGCCTTCTGCAGCAAAAGGTAGCCTAGTCTTCACCTATACACTGGTGGGGTTCTGCTGAGACTGCCAGCTATTTAGCATCAGATGTTGCTGTGGCTTTATAATAGGGACATTTATCTACGAGGAAGGGGACTGAGACCACCAAGACAGTTCACAAAGGCCATCAAACAGCCAGCAATGATGGCATCTATTTGACAAAGTTAATTCATGTACCACAGTAGCTTGTTCTACAGTCTTGCCTTGTCAGCTTTGGATAATTACTTGTCAGCCTGACTTCATCTACACTCACTGTGAGGTCAGATTTCAAGTTTAGCACCAAATTGTAAATCATTGACTTTGGTTACAAATTGGAAGAATTTTTTTGAATGCCCTCTCAGGTTTTCTAAAGTTCCTCTGCCACCAGTTACTTCAGGATCCTCTCTAATACTACTTTTCACTTTCTGAATACCTTTCCAGATTTCTTGTCTGTTTTTGTTTTCAATCCTATGGCCCTCTGGGATGAATCCAGCTTTGTTTCATGCAAATACAGTTCTCTGGGTTAGTGTTTGCTTTTGTTTTTTGATACCCTTTTAAAACATCTTTGTTCTCTTTCCTTAGTCAAAGTTCATCAACAATCTGTCAGGGGATCTATTCAGTTATCTTTTTTTGTAATTTAATCTGTTTGTTCACAGTCCTGCAATAGAAAAGCAGGAAGAAAAAATCACATACTTGAAAATATGAAGTTGCTTTCCTATTTCTGAAATATGTCTAATAAGCATCAGATCAATTCTTAAACATACGTTAAATCATTACCTCAGCAATCTTGTCCAAACAATCAATCAAAATATTTTTTTCCCTCTCTGGGTACATCTACACAGCAGCATTATTTCAGAATAACTGACATTATTCCAAAATAAAATAGTAGTGCGTCTACACTACAAGCCTTTATTTCAAAATAATGTTGAGCTGGAGGACGCCTTACTCCAACCCCTGTAAACCTCATTTCATGAGGAGTAAGGGAAGTTGAAGGAAGAGTGTTCTTCCTTCAAGTTCCTGCTGTGTAAACTATACCTAAAGCCAAATTAAGCTATTTTGACTTCAGCTACGCAGTTGACATAGCTGAAAGATGAGTAGCTTAATTCGACTTTAACCCTGCTGTGTAGACATGCCCTTCCTGTTTAAAAACCTCATGTCTCTTCTCTTCTGAAATTGTTTGTTTTAGACTCCTGTGTACACTGAATTCAAATGTGCTGTAAAAAGAGGCAGATGACAGTGATTTGCGGAAAGTTCCTGTGAGCAGGGCCAGATTATGAAAGGGGCTTTTAGGACAGCAGCAAAGGCCCTGGGATAAGGAGGTGTGGAAGTGGCTCTATGCACTGCTGTTCCCCCCTCTCTTCTCCTGGAGCCACGTCACCAGTAGTGGCACTTGCCTGCAGGCTCCACCCCCACTGCTCCCATTGGCCAGGAATTGTAGCCAATGGGAAAGACAGGAGTGGTGCCTGCAAGCACAGGGCTACGATGAGACACCTATGTCTCCTGGAAGCTATGGCAGGCATGCATCTCAATCCTCTGCTCTCTCCTGCACCCTCCCTCTTGCCCAGACCCTGCAATCCCATCCCAACCCACTCCTGCTCCTTGCCTCCCATCCAGACCACACACTTCCCATGTCCAGCCTGCTCTTGTACTCTGTCTCCTACTCAGACCTCCCATCCCCTCTGCCTGCTCTTGCACAGGCTCTGCACCTCCATCTTGTTCCTAAGTAGTCTCCTCCCACACACTTGAACCCATCATTTTTGGCTCCCCTCCAGTGTCTTGGGCCCCCAGAAGAGTTAATCCATCCCTACCTGTGAGGTAACAAGAATCTTTTCAGAAATATGTTGTAAGTTCCTCAACCCTGGCATTGATGGGAAATTGAAAGTAATAATTTGTTTGCACTGAAATTAACTACAGAGGTTTTGAAAGCTTGCACATACTTTCCAAGAATGCAAACTTCAGCTTAAAGTTTTTTTTCAATGTTGCTTTCATTGCTGCTCATACCTACTAGTAGGAGCAAGTTTATTTTTTCCTTTCAGCTTTACTCAAGTTTTGAAACGTGGAGGTTATAAATAAACCAAACAATCTTAGCGAGGATTTACCAGTGCTATAAATGCTTAAGGTATTTTACTACTTGATCTAACTTTATATTTTTAGTGCTAGGACCTTAACTAGGGTCAATTGGTGTGCCTCCATTGACTGCAGTGCTGATTGACATGGATTTAGGATACTGAGGTTTTAGCCTGCCTTGCTAACTCTCTCCCTTGCTGACAGAGAATGGGAACTGAGGGCTGTTTTTTAAGCAAAGAACTTTCTCCATTTATAAACGTGCAATTCTTATCATGTACATGTTGTTAACTGTATTTCACCTTAAAGCTTTAAATTGAAACGAAGTATTTCAAAGCCCCTCACAAGCAGCAAAAAGTGTTGTAATTTCTCACGCAACCTTACCAACAACCTAATATCAGTGACTGTGAACCCATTTCTATCCTGCTTTAGGAATGCTGTGTAAATGCTATTGGTAAAGAATATATTAACATGAAATTATAATTTTGTAGGGAGTTTATGTATGGAGTTAGCTATTCCCTTTTATCAAACCACTCCAAGCATCTAATTCAGGGGTGGGGAACTTTTTTGGGAGTCAGGGGCTGCTGACCCACAGAAAAATCAATTGGGCACCATACACAGGTGAGAAGCAAAACAAAAAAGAAAAAAAAAACAAAAAGAAAAATTCTCACTGACCTGGCCTGTGACTGAGAAGGAGAAAGGCACTCCTCACACTCCTCACACCAGAGTCTTTGTGGGGCCCAGACTAGTAGATTTTGCCTGCTCCAGCCCCTCGGGGAGGCAATGGGGAGGACTGGAGCACCAGTGTGGGCTCCCCAGTGCTGGGGTAGAGCCCTTAGCCTTGCAGGCTGGATCCAGGAAAACCAGGGGCCGCATCTGGCCTTGGGTTCCCTACTCCTGATCTAATTCCAAGGGTAACTGGGTCAGAAGTGGGAGTAAATTATGCTCACTGCCATATGCATGCCCCAGTGGTTTTGTACTTGCTTCATTAACTAATCAGTAGGCTATTGTTGCTTCTGCCATGTCATGCTGCTTGCAGCTGCAGTAGCAGCCAAGGAGTTCATTTTTAAAATGGGAACTGGTGTTTCTGAAAATACTGTCCTGAGCTTGTAGAAATGCAAGGAAAGACCAAGGATCCTATGTCATAATGTATCTGCCGTTATTATTGCCATTAGTATTTGCTCAAAATAGATAAGTTGGTCAGTTATTCTATTTTTGCTTATCTTCTCTTACAATAATCATCCAGATGTAGATGTTCTCAAAACCTACCCACATATGTCAACTATGTTGCATATAATAGAATGAGCTGATAAGAGAATACTGGCTCATTATTTATCAGCTCACTCTTATCTGTCTTTTTGCATAAGCATGAAAAATGCTTTCTTGTAAAGGTTTTATGTTCACTTAGTCTCTCACACACCTCTAGTACCGTGCCTCCACTCCTGAACAGATAAGGCCTATCAACTCCATTCCTGCCAGCTTGTGCAGTGGATTTCTGGAGTTCATATAAAGATTAGCATCAGACCCGCGGTGTCACTCACAAAATTGACCTTGATTCCATGTGTCCAGAAGAATAAAAGTATAATAGGATCACTGTTCCATTAAGACACTGTACTTACAGGTCTTTCTGCATTTTCATTCTTGCTTAACCAAGGTTGAGAGTGTTTATAACTCTTGTCTTCACAGGTACCTGGAAATTAAAACTTGTTACACAAGCTTCTAGTTTAAAAATAAATGTTGTTTTCCAAGCACATTTGGTTTTAGCAAGTCACTTTTTGCTTAATGACAATGTTGAAGCAAAAAAACGCTCCTCTCTGTTTAGGCAGCTAACAAACAGATAGCTTTATTGATCAGTAAAGCAAAGTGAGCCAAACGTGGTCCCAGCAGAGCCGGGCCCAGTAAGGCTGCTAATACAATCAATCCTAGTATCTTTATACCCTTAACCAAACAGTCTGACGTCAGGGCATCCAATTACAGAAATCCTCAATTAAACTAGGAAAAACAAAGCCTTATCAACAAGATGGCAGACAGGTACGAGGGAGTACATCTCCTGTCCCAACCAGCCCAATTAACACATACCAATAGCCCATCCTGTAGGCTTCTTCTCATGGGGTGACAGAAAGTTCACTCTGGTCTACGTGCTTGAGAGAAAAGCTGAAATGGTTTCTGTTATACAAGATGGCTTCTAGCTAAATATGAAATGGTTTCTACAGCTTCTACATCAATCGTGTCAGAGCAAGAAATGAATGAATACACTCTGAGATGTAGGCATATGAACTACTAGATATAGGAATTTTTAAATGAATATACTGTACTTCTGTGTTAATTCTGTATAATACACTGCTTGCATATGAATCTATATCTTAATAATGTTAATCTATATTTTAGGCCATCCCATATCCATCAAAAAGCCTGCTCAGCTATAAAAACTATGATCTATCTTCCTTAAGTATCCTTCTTTCCATCTCCTATAATCACCCGTGTTCCGCTCAAGCTGAAATAGTTTCCCAAAGCAGTCTGGGTTTTCATGGTTGTCATGGGAGCCTTCCTCTTTCAGAACTGATAGAATTACTTCCATGCCAATGCTCCTACCTCCTGTTGCTCCAGGAAGTGAGGGGCTAGGACTGGAAGTAGGCATTCTGTAAAGCAGTATAAGATACTGTAGATGATGTTCCACTTTTCCTATGAAGTAATATTTTTAACAGTTTTAAAACCGAGATTCATTTTAACTTCTACCTAGCAATGGAATGCCATTTTGTTCTTTCACACTTGCAGTTCAGTAGAGATGCAACGGGTACATGGAGTAGCACTGGAGATGCCTTTCCCCCCATGTTCCTGGTATATCAAGCAGCAATGAGGAATATAACTTGGTGTTGGCACACCAGGACAGGTGGGCTCAGTTTCTAACATGGCTGAATGTAAGGGGACTACATGTTGGTGAGAGAAGGACTAGAACAAAGGAGATATGTAGGGAAGACCCTGGTAATGTCCAGGCTTTGGGAAATATCTGTGGTATTTCCAATGAAAGCAAGCCCAGGGGAGGGGCTAAATTGGACCATACGTATAGGCAGGGTATGACTCTTATGTTGAAGAAAGCTGGGTGTAGCAGCAGAAGCTCCCTAGAAGTGGGAGGCACCAGCACTCAGACCATGGGCTCATCTCCCATTCTGCCATGAGGCCCCACCCTGCTCAGCCTCCTCCCCCTGACACCCTGTCCACTCTCCACCCCCATTTGGCCTCTTCCCAAAGGCCTTACTCCCATTCTGCCTCTTCCCCTGAGGCTTCGCCAGCTGGCCAGGCATGTGAACAGTCCTATTCCTAGTCCATCCCCTGGCTTCAGCCCAAGCCATCATCCCCTGGGGCCAGATCCTCCTCCCACTCTGGGAGGAGAAGCCCAAGAGCCACGCATCTGGCTGGTACCAGGGGCCACAACCAGTGCCCATGAGGGATGTAAGTGACTAGTGGGCCCTAGTCCCAGTCAAAAGAGTGGCTCCTGGGCTTAAACGCCAATTCCTCTCCAGCACCATCTCCCCAGTAATCACTGCTGATGACTATACATATAAGAGCCTAGCGGCTCTTAATACATTTAAAAGGCAGAACCCCACTGGGTTAGCTCCTGGGACTGGGAGCTAACTCTGCTGTGGCTCTGCAGCTTCCGCCCCTTGTCAACTAATCCACTAGTTGATGGAAATTCCATCGAATATTCGATTAGCGGATTAAATGCCATTTAACATCCCTAGTTTCACTCCCCTGTGACTTATCAGCGGGAGGCTGCTATGCCCGGCCTGCTGTATCCTGTGCTCCAGCCTCCCACCGCTAGCTGCAGAGACACCTGCAGGGTTGTGTGCTGCACACACACACACACACATACACAAAGTTGCTGCTGTGCTGATGCTACTGATGCCAAAAAAGAGTTAAAAGCTGGAAGCAGACAAGAGCCGCTCTTGCCAGTCAGCAGCAGGTCAGAGGGAGCCTATCTTTGCCCCTACCCCAGGAATTGGTGGGACAGAGCTTATCCTGGGGCCAAGAGAGAGTTCTACTACCAAGCCTGGTGTTTTTTTGTACTGATATTGAAATGGTTTTTTAATGGATTTTATGGACAGGTCTAATTTTAGCTCTTTTTTATGGACTTCCTGTGAATGTACTGACCGTTGGAAACCTGACTTCCAAAGCCCCTCCCCCGGAGGTGTCTGCAGTTCATGCCTCTCTGCCCCATCTTGGGGGAAGAGACAGGAGCAGCCACAAGAGAGTGAGGTTGGCGCTGGGGTAAGAAGCCAAGCAGGAGTGGGCACCTTGGGACAGATCACGGGCAAAACCATGGTCTGGCTGCGGGTGGTGCCTCAATTTCTTGAGAGCTTTCAGCTGCGGCACTCCAAACGTGGTGGGCCTGCAAGCCTCCAAAGAGAGGTGCACTCTGTTTGGGTATTTCTTGCCCTGTTCGGGGAGACTTTGCCTTTCCAAGCCTCTTGTACTTACTGCCCGTGACTATACATCTAGCGTGCGTACAGCCTCATGGGAGCTGCCGCTGCTTGCAGGCTGATGTGGCAGAGTTAACATTAGGTCCAGGAAAAATACGGCTTGCGGGCTGGATCCAATCCATCAAGCTGCTGGATCCAGGCTGTGGGAGCCTCCACCAGGCTACCTGTCTGCCCTGCCCCTGCTCGGCCCTCAGAAAAGCTGGCTCTGGTGCCATGCGTTTCTGTGAACATTGTGACCACAGGGGTACAACCCCCTTCTTCACCAAACTCCCTCCAAGATCCCACACCCCCTCCTTTTACCCCAATCCATTGCCCCAAGCTCCCTTCTGCACCCAATCACCATCCCAAACCCCACACCTGATCATTTAATATCATGGAAGTGAGAGACCCTTGGCCACTTTCCAAATTCCTGGAGTGGCCTCCCTCAAAAATTATTGCCCACCCCTGTTTAACATCAACCAATTCCAGAAAAAATTGACCTTGTGGCTTACTACTTGTTTTACATATTTACTCCTGTTCCTATATAGTTTTTTGTCCTGTGTTACAGAGGCATTATTTATGATTGAGTTGTGGATACAGTTTGTGTACAAAATACTTAAGTATGTTCTTGAGTATAGTTCACATCGGCCCAGTCCAGCAAAGGAATGTTACTCTCACTTAGTCACAAACATCTGCTGTCTATGACTGATGTCAGTGATGGTCTATGGTAGAGGAATGCTCTAAGAACCATGTGGGTTGAAATGACCTGAATAAGAGAGTGTGACCAACTTCAACGAAGCCAAGCAACATTTGAGCCTGTGACTCATGCTGCTGCATCTCATTCAAATCATAGATAGCAGCCCATTCTTCTTAAGGCCGGCAGAGTTAGCTTTTCCAAACTGGAAATAACGAAACATTGGGATCAGCTTTACAGCTACTTTTGTGGGAGGATATTTATATTTTTAATACACAATCATAATATTCTGAATTATTCTTGGCCCTCATGAACATGCCTCACCAATGGAGAGAGGGCCAACATCGATTAAGCCCTGTAAGTGAATATACAAGCATCTTTCATATTAATTACTTGTGTTTTTTTTATAAAAGTGTAAAATGTGGTATTTCACATTATCTTTTCAAAATATTTCTTCTACTTTTTAAAAAGAAGTACACTCCAAAGCAGAATCAGATGAAGGACTCTAATGAATATGTTGCAATATAAAAGTTTTTAATGTGTGAAACGCCCTCATTTGGATTATGCTGTACTTTTATAGTTAAGCAGTGCACCTGAACAGAGAGAAATGTAGAATCTCTCTTTTATTCTGACATTTTCTTTCCTAACTTTTAACCAGTTACCATCCCATTAAAAGCTTTTTCCTTCTTACCTCATGATTCACTTTGCTTAAGAGCCTGTGGTAAGAGACCTTGTCAAAGGCTTCTGAAAGTCCAAGTACACTGTATCACAG